TCTCTCTCTCTCTCTCTCTCTCTCTCTCTCTCTCTCTCTCTCTCTCTCTCTGTAGAAGAAGAAGAAGAAGAAGGAGATACCTCCATGTGCATTGTTATGTACTTGATATTTTGTATATATATATATGTATTTTTGTTACATTTTGTAATGCTATAAATGTATGCTGTATGTTTCCACAGCCGACCTCTTCAGTCCACACTCCGCGGCCGACGACCTGTGCGTCTATCCAGTCGATAGCCACTCCGCCATGTGTCTGGAAGTGCTGCAGGTCAGATCTGAGTGTCATCTCTTCCTCACTGAATCTTAGTCGTTGTTATTGTAGTGCAGTTGTTGGTACTGTTGCAGTTGTTGTAGTTGTCGTTGTCATTGCCATCATCAACGCTTCTCGTTCTTGTTCTTCTTCTTCTTCTTCTTCTTCTTCTTCTTCTTCTTCTTCTTCTTCTTCTTCTCCTCCTCCTCCTCCTCATCATCATCATCATCATCATCATCATCATCATCATCATTTAGAACCTTCGGCTCCACTTTTCCTTTTAATCCACGTCATCGTCCTCGTCATCATTTTTTAAAAATCATCGCTGTCATCATCTGTACTTCTTTCGTCATCCTTTTGAATGTCACTTTTTTTTTAAAGTTCTGATTGGCTGCTGGCTAAATATTGCGTATGCTGCTGTTGTGGCTAGAATATGTGAACTGCAACCCCACAAACTTTTACAGCTGTAGCAACGTCATAACACCACTTGCAGCTACAACAACATCGGCAGCATTTGCAAAAACAGCGGCAGCAGCCCCTGTGGCGACAACACAATATCAACGACTCCACCAACAACGACACCAGCACCACTGCCACCAAACCTCCACTAACAGCTACAACATCAAGCAACACCACAAATTACAATACGAAATCCATCATCATCACCACTAGTACCACCACCACCACCACCACCAACAACAACAACAACAACACCAACAACAACGCCATACCAACCACACAACCAACAACAACACTACTATTACTACACACAGCAATAGCAACACCAACACCACCACCATCACCACCACCAACTATAACAGCAACTACAACACGAACACCGCCTCTACCAACACCACCACCACCACCACCAACAACAACAACAACAACAACAACAACAACAACAACAACAATAACAACAAAAATATTAGCAAAAGCAACAGCAGCAACAACAACAACAACATATTAATCACCATTACCAAAACCATCCCTCCCTCTTGTAACAGGCTGACGCTGCCGAGATCGAGGGTGTGCGATTTCACGACTTCACAGCACACGAACAGAACAAGCTGTTGCAGCACCATCAGCAGCATCACCACAACCACCACCACCACCACCACCACCAGCAACATCAGCAGCACCACCAACAGCACCCGGACTCCCCGTCGTCGCAGCAGGAGTATGGCTCCAGAAGCCCGGGCAGTGTCTCCTCGGATGGAGGGAAGGTGAGGGATTGTGTCAGGTTATTGTTTGTATTCTTTCTCTTTTCTTCTTCCTCTGCCTCTCTCTCTCTCTCTCTTTCTTTCTCTCTTTCTT